AGTGCAGAATTACAGTTTGTGCAGTGCGTGGAGTAGTTGCTGCTGCAGTTTTTGTAGAAATGCATTTTTTTGTAAAAGAATGCAGTTTGTGAGCTGATTCTGTTTGTTGCCTGCAGATTTGTGTAAAGATTCTGTTTTTAGTCTGCAGTCATGAGACTGCAGCAGTTTGTTAAAATGTCATATGTGAGTATGGTTTAGTTCAGGGGGAATATTGTGTATAAAGGTCTGGACCAGAGTGTCATATTGAGTAGGATAGGGTCAGAAAGAACTTGCCAATACGCTGCGTTTTACTAAAGAAACAGTATAAGGTCTTTGTACAGTAGCTTTCTTTTTAAGCAAAAAAAAATATTTTTCCAGATCTGAATCTGTTTTTCTCTTAACTGTTTCTTTCTCTTCTTTTCTCAAGATTCTTTTGCTCAATTCTTTTCTTTTCAATGAGAGCCTTCATGTGTCAGACAACTATAAAACACTCATTGCATTATTTCAAAGGTGTATAAATTGGCACTTCCTTCCCAAAAGGGCGGGGGGGCATATAGCTAGGTTATAATAAGAGCTCAATTCTTTCTCTTTGTAAACACTGTGTTTCTTCATCTTTGTATGCCTTATGGCATATCATAGAAAGAGTCAGTTCAATAAATAATATGTGGATATAGGAGTCGCTTGTTTAGCATCCGAACCACTATAAAACCTCTCTTGTTAGCCTACTATTTATGTTTTCTGCAACATATTAACTCACCTCCATATTCAAGGCTCTTGTTTGGTTCACAATTTTGTGTTTTTGGGAAAAGTTTTTTGAAAAAAGTTAAAAAAGTTGAATTGGGCGGGTATTACGATGTAGGATTTACAATTATAATACCCCCTATGTTGTTTTTTACAAAACACCCCTTATATAAAACATTAAAAGTTAACAAAACACCCCCATCCACCCTCAAATACGGACAGCCGGCCCCACCCCGCCGAGGGTGCCGGATCGCCGTAACAAAAACATTAAAAATATTTAGGGGTATTTAATTGAATTAACAAATTTAGGGGGTTTAAAAAATGTTGAATAAAGTTGAATAATATTGTGAGTTTTTGGGTATTTTACTGTTTAACTTTTTTGGGAATACTAAAAGTAGTATTCCCAAAATCCAACCAAACTAAGCCCTGAATTTTTGGGTATTTTACTGTTTAACTTTTTTGGGAATACTAAAAGTAGTATTCCCAAAATCCAACCAAACTAAGCCCAAATCTCATGGATCCATCACGTGTAATTTCTAAGACCCTTTTGGCACTTTGCATGTGCGAGTCGTTGGCGTCCAAAATCATGCCTCAACAGTTTGGTGGCCCATGCAGGTCTCAAACCTGCATCCAAGTTCCCTGATGGCATGCTCAGATCTCAAACCCGTGTCAGAATTCTCCAATCGCGTGGCCAGATTGCAGATCGCACGCTTTATAATTCTCCAATCGCATGGCCAGATGGCACGTGCTAAAAATCTCCAATCACGTGGCCAGATAGCAGATCGCACGCGTCAGAATTCTCTGATCGCATGGCCAGATATCAGATCGCGTGGCCAGATATCAGATCGCACGAGATAGAATTCTCCGATTGCGTGGCCAGATCGCACACGTCAGAGTTCTCTGATCACGTGGCCAGATCGCATGCGTCAGAATTCTCTGATCGCGTGGCTAGATTGCAGATCGCACACTCAGGTCATCCTGATCTTTAGCTTCAAATCACGTGCTCAGATCGCTGATCTCTTGTTCTCACATTGAGCTCTCAGGTCGAGCTCGTTATGCTCTCAGGTAGAGCTAGTTATGCTCTGAGATCGAGCTCGTTGTGCTCTCAGGTAGAGCTCGTTGTGCTCTGAGGTCAAGCTAGTTATGCTTAGGTAGAGCTCGTTATCCTTTGAGGTTGAGCTCGTTATACTCTGAAGTAAAGCTCGTTATACTCTCAGGTCGAGCTCGTTATGCTCAGGTAGAGCTCGTTATGCTCTGAGGTAGAGCTCGTTAGGCTTTGAGGTCGACCTCGTTATGCTCTGAGGTCGAGCTCGTTATGCTTTCAGGTCGAGCTCGTTATGCTCAAGTAGAGCTTGTTATGCTCTCAGGTTGAGCTTCTATCAAATCGTGATCAACTTCTGACTCCCAGATCGCGATCAGCTCCTAGCTCTCAGCACTCGATCGCGCCAAAAATAGTTAGAGCTCTTCAGTTCGAGACTACAGCCTATAGTGCAACAGCCATTCAGATTAAAGATCTTAGTTTCTAAAGCGCAATTACGCACTTCAAAAATGGGGGGGCTTCTGTTATGCCTAAAAAGTCATGCTTATATCAGCTCAATAAATGTCTTTTTGTACTAGCTGTCAAGCCCATATCTCCTCAAAGATATACATACCAACCCTATCTCATTTCAAGAGATGAATGGATGAGAGTCTTCCATGTGTCAAGGCAACTTGCAAAACACTCATTGCATTGAGTTCAAAGGTATATAAATTGACACTTCTCTTCCCGAAAAGGGAGACTGGGCATATGAGAGCTAGACATAGATAAGAGCTCAATTCTTTCTCTTTGTAAACACTGTATTTCTTCATCTTTGTATGCCTTACGGGCAATATCATAGAAACAGTCAGAGATCAATAAAATAACAGTGGATGTAGGAGTCACTTGTTTATGCATTCGAACCACTATAAAAATCTCTTTTGTTAGTCTATTATTTATGTTTTCTTCAACATATATAATCTCAGCTCCATATTCAAATCTCATGGATCCATTACGTGTAATTTCTAAGACCCTCTTGACATTTTGCACGTGCGAGTCGTTAGCGTCCAAAATCATGCATCAACAAAACAAACAGCTAGCCCAGCCAAACTGAGACTAACAGCTTCAAAAAGAGTGCAACCTCTACAAATCTCAGCCATCACATAGGAGAAGCTGTTGCTGCTGCCCACGATAGGCCATTAATAAACCAATATTCCCAAACTGAGACCTCTTAGCACCTAGAACAGCCGCATAACAGCCACGCTTCTTCGCCAAGGGCAACAAGAATCAGGGGACCAAACTCCAAAGCAATCAACCAAGCAAAGAACGAAATTCCACCACAAGCAGTCAAGGAGAAACAGTCCAGAAAGACATCACAGTCACACCAAAAAAAACACGAATCCACTTACTGCCCCAAACGGCGCCAGCAAGGACAAGATTAAGACACTGCTTATACAACTCCTGTCTAAGAACAAGCAAGAAACACACCCACCAGCTAACAGGCTGTCGGCACACCATTACGAACACGGTAAAAGGGAAGTTCCCAAACTTGTAACATTCTGCGGACTCTTTGATTATCCTTGAACCGAAGACTAAAATGGCGAAGCCTTACAATATCAAAGATTTGTTGATTGAGACAGTTAGGCTCTCTTCTTGAGTTTTTAAACAGTCGAAAATTACGCTCCTGCCATAAAAAGTAAACTGAAGCACCCTAAAGAAGTCTTCTAATGACTGAATAAATATTTTTCCCGTTAAACTTCTTAGCACACCAGGTCAATATACTGTTCCAGTCACCAATAGGAGCCCGAAAATTCCTTTTCCTCTGAACAGCGCTCCAAATAGTTTTAGAGTACACAGAATCAAAAAACAGATAATCATGACTATCCGAGGGGCCATTGCATAAGGCACAATGCAGCTCAAAATTTACATTCCAAGTTATCATCTTATTTTGGGTTAAGATTTTACTTTAATGGCAACCCAAAGATGAAAGAATGACTAGGAATGCTTGTACCCGTCCAGATCAAAGAGTGCCAAATGACCTTGACAAATTGAGTGGAAAGATCATGCCAAGTTTGCGAAGAGGAATACCGAGAATATTTACCTTCTAAATTTATCCAAAAAGCCAGATTACTTGATAAGTCACCAGGGACAGGGGAAGCAATATGGGAGAACATCTCCCGTAAAGGGGCTGGCCATACCCATTGTCTGTCAACAAGAATATTAGTCACTGTAGCTTCATGCCCCAAACCTAAAGAATGGAAATTTCGAGCAGGAACCAAAGAATGTAAGGGGCCCAGGGGATGCCAGTGGTCATACTGTGAGAAGAGCAGATCGAGAGAGAAAGAAAGAGGTAGGCATGACAGTAAGCGGCCGGAAAAGTGAGTAATGTATTTGACAGCGAGAAGTTAACAAAGTTGCAGAAAATAAATAATACAATAAACCTATATGAATTTACAAAAACACCCTACGTAACACTATATAACACATATACATATACATGCAATTACTCTTCGATGTTCCCCGCAATTGGAGCCACATATCATGAAGCTGCAATTGGAGAAAAGAGGGTCCGAAAACGCTTTCGAGAGAGACCTTTAGTGAACACAACAACCAGCTGAGAAACAGTAGGAACTTGACAAACGCTGAGGGCGTCGCAGGCAATAAGCTCTCGAATAAAGTGGAGATAATAGTTGTTCGAGATCAATAATTGAAAGGTGGTATTAAAATATATGTTAAGGTCACTATTTTAATTATAAGATTTATTCTTAAAAGGGTTCATTCTTTATTTATTAGTTTATATTTAAAAATAAAGATAAATTGATAAACATTTCTCATAAATTTCTTTCACTAAAGTTGATGTGATAACTCGTAATTCGTCAACTTATATTTAGTCAGACAGAATTCATTGTTGGACAGAAGAGATTTATTATAAGCTGACTAATTACAAACTGATCCGTCATGTTTATGAGAGAAAGTAAGTGATAATAGTTTGTGAGTGCAATATTACTGTACACGTAAAAGAGCACGTCTAACATTAATGTGCAAGGCCTTTTGGTTAGTTTGATGGGCCTCTCTTTGTTACACCAAATTTAGCCCATTAGCCCATGAAGTATTCGATTGTAATTTAGCCCATTAGCCCATGAAGTTTTCTCACAATCGAAAAGAAATCATCATCTATTTCAACGACATTACGTCTCTGCATTTGATGACAAAAAGACATGTCGTCTTATTGATCATTCAAACAAAGCGCTTAGTCGGTTTTTTTTTTGGTTAAATTTTGAAGCAAAACTCAAACCCGGTCCAGAAATCTACGGCACAGTTGTCCGAAGTCCGAACAACATTAGCCGCACAAACACAGCTTCACCTTTCCATCAAGAACTTCAGAACAAACCCACAACTCGCAACCAAGAGCTCAACTCAAACTCAACCTTGAAATGAAAGAAGAAGGGGCAGTGAAGTAAAAGCAACAGCAATAAATAAAAAGCCAAAGCAAGAGGCCATGAAATCAGCTACATTTCCGTTTGGCGGTTGCGGTTATGCTTTACCGTCTCCATCTCCATCTTCCTCTTCATTGAAGATTGTTATAATTATGGCTAAGAGCAGCAAAAAGTCGCCAACTTCTTCCCCAAAGGTTTGCTCTTTTTGAAAAATGAACGAATTTATGGCTTAAAGGCAATTCCTGTAGCATATCTTACACTTTTTCTTTAAGGGCTTGTTCAGTGAAGTTAATTTAGTTACTAGAAAGGCTTTTGCTAAAAGGTTTTGTAATTGTACTCACTTATTTTGAGAGGATTTAGTGTTTTTTTTTTTTTTTTTTTTTTTTTTTATACATCTCTAGTATGTTTCTGGATTTGGTTGTGGTTCCTCAACCGATAAATGCTTTATATGGGCACGTTTATGGATTTTTGAGGAGTTTATTGTGTGCTTAATTAGTCAATTATCTTAATAAGAAGTAACTGGGATCATCTGGGTTTTCTTAGCCTTGTAAATGGCTTTAGGAACTATTTTTTGGATGATATTTAAGCAAATCTTGAACATGGAATTCCGTGTACTTTCTTGCTATTCTATTTTAAATGGAAGTGAAATTTGATATTTTAAAGCTTAATATGTATGTCAGTCAATTTTAGATTGACTCTAACAGTAACAGGCTTTCTGCTGATAGGATTCTGATCCAACGCCTCCGAGAATTACGTCTAATGTCAAACAGAATTTACAGTTTTTGAAGTTATGGAAGGTTGGTGATAAATTCATATATCGAAAACCAATATTGGAATTTATCTTTTATCTTATTCAAGGAAGCTGTTGTAGGAGTTCCAAAAGAGGAAGTCTAGCACACCCCGGCCTTCTACGAGTTACCGCCGGAAAAGAATCGAGAAGGAGGAACTTCCTGAAGATACTGAGCTCTATCGCGATCCTACCACAACCCTTTACTAGTAATTTACTTTCCAGGTTCCATTCTTATTTCAAAAGTATTAAGCTATTTCCCCTGTTAAGATTTGTGGAGAAGTATTGCTCTTGGTTTGCTAAATAATTCTTACAGTACAAACCAGGGCATAGTCGATGCAGTTCCTGTCTTGCTTGTAGATGGGTATAATGTGTGTGGCTATTGGCCAAAGCTGAAGAAGCATTTTATGAAAGCAAGGCTAGATGTTGCTCGCCAGAAGCTAATCGATGAACTTATCACATTTAGTATGTTAAGAGGTTAGTACTCTATTTTTTACTTATATGATGAGGCTTCATTATATGATATATCAGATACGAATCAGCACACCTTAGATTTTCCCAGTAATTGAGCAATTTCAATCGCTCTTGTAAAAAATGGGATTCTCTTTGCATATGTTGTTGAGTCTTGAAAATCATAGGATTCTATTAACCATAGAATTAGAAATAGTACTACTAGCTATGATTAAGAAATCCAAAAACTTAATATAACAAATGTCAAACTCTAGAAGAGAATATTACCAAATTGACACTAACATCTCTAACATGTCACTTCCTCCTAATGAATATGGATGTATTGCTAAACGTAGATTCCTCGATGGAAATGTTAACTTGAAAATTCATGGTTTTCCCCGATGTTTACTTTAATACTTTGATTGAGTTTTGATATCGATGTTCTTCTTCTTTCAGGATTTTGCTGTTATAGGTAGAACGTTTTGTATTGTTTCATGTTAAAATATTACAGTATGAACTGGTATTTGTTGACAGTATTATTTGTTTCAACTAAGTATTATAATGGTAAAGCCATATAGATAGAGGCGTAAAGATAATAATGTTAGTCACAATCCTTTTTCTTAGATGTATTTATTCATATTTCAACTATTCGAAATAGTATTGACTTGATTTCATCTCAAGTGTCTGTGCTAATAATTTTCTTGTTATTTGTTTTCTATATGTTGAAGACACAACATCACTTTTATCATGTCTTTAATATTTACAGAGGTGAAAGTGGTTGTTGTATTCGATGCTATGTTGTCTGGACTCGCTACACACAAGGAAAGTTTTGCCGGGTATTATTTATGATCCTAAACCTTTGATCATTTTGTTTTTTTGACTCTATTATTCTTATGATTTTGGTTCTATTGTTCAGTAGAACCAATTGTAAAGCATTCTTTATTCAATGTGATTTTGTTGTAAACTTTGCTTTATCAGCTGAATTCCTTCACATTACTGTTAACCTTATGGAATGAAATCTTGCCTGCCATGATGAAATTGATCGTAAGTTTGTAATCTCAAGAATTCACAATGTTGCAGGATTGATATAGTTTTCTCTGGAGAAACATGTGCTGATTCATGGATTGAGAAAGAGGTGAAAATATAAGATTTCTTTATTTCTTTCATGACATAAATCATAGGATTTTTCAGTTTAACGGGTATGGATTGAGTTCCGTATGCATCTCTTATTGGCTATAGCTAGTTGGATGTCCCTTCCTTCATTTATGTTGTGGAGACCAACTGACATTCTTTCATAGTTTAATAAAGGGTATAATCAAGTGGCTGGACATCACTGCTAAAGAGTTTTCTGTCACTCTGCTCTGAATGGTCAAATCATAATGTTTTATTATGGAAACTGTTATACTATGCCTATGCTGAACTATTTCATTAGCTAATTTGAAGTGTGATTTTATTATTATTTTTTTTCTCTTTTCTGATTACTAGTCTGGCATCATGTTTATGTAACAGATTGTAGCTTTGAAGGAAGATGGATGCCCCAGAGTCTGGGTTGTGACTTCTGATCACTGTCATCAGCATGCGGCCCATGGAGCAGTAAACTCTCCTCAGAATCTTTGTAGTAATCACAACAAATTTTGTTAATTTTTTGTGTAGTTTCTTGTCTTTTAGCTCCTACATACAAATTTACTTTGTGCTAAAAAGATTGAGTGCCCTATTAGATTAGTTCACCATGGAGTATCGACTAGTTCTATTAGGATAACTTGTTAAGCTGTTATTACAGCATAATTCTACTTGTAGGCTGCTGCTCTTGACCAGAATATTTAACGAACTACCTCACTTCAGAGTGACCTTTTCTGATATATATATATCTTATGGCTTTGAATTAATGAAACAACTAGTGGTAGGAATCTTGTGTATTTCACTAAAATAATGCACATTCACATTGGTTTACTCTTGCTCTGCATGTGACTTAGTGGTACTTTCTGATCATTTCCAGGGAGCCTTTGTGTGGAGTTGTAAGGCATTGGTTTCTGAGGTGAGGCATGGTTGTCTATAATCACAATTTCTGCTTTTTATGCTTGAATACTGCACATGGTACTCAAACTTTTTATTATCTCATATTTTAAGTTAATAATCCTTAGTAAGTGGAAGATTTATAATACGAATAGATTCATTAGGTCTTTAAAAAAAAAAAAAAAAGTGGCATTTGAAGTTACAAGCCCTTCATCCATCTTGACCATTTGTCTAATAGACTAGATGAGTTCAAGATTAGCTTGTAGGTATCATCATGCTATTATTCTACAAACGCACATAAGGTGATGTCTGCCACTTTTCTGCAGTAGCCTCAAATCTCAATACTTGATAATGTTTATTAGGATAAATGATAGGTATAATACTGCACATACAACATTATTATACAACATTTCTTATACAACATAATGTGGTAAAAGATGATTGGCTGATTTTAAATTAAAAATAAACTTTCACCCAATTATCTTTTGTCACATCATGTTGTATGTACAGTATTACTTTAAATGATAGTGAATCCCCTTTATCTTGAATGATGACAGCAAATCCTCTCATATTTGCCACAAATGAATTACAGGTGACCCATTCAATTCTTTATATGATCTTGTCATTACATTTTAAAAAGTTGGAAAGATTCCTATCATTTGGTTGACTGGACGGGTTTTCAGTTAATCATCACTTTACGGATTCTAATGGTCAACCAATGTATGGAGTTACACCAACTTATATATGACTCTTGGCTTAACTAAGAACTGTAAATCTTGCATTTTATTCTCATTCTTTAGTGTAGAAACCTTTCTATGGCAGGTTATTGTTCTTTGAAATGTAAAATTGTAGATCATTTTTGTGTTAAATTTGTCTTTTTGATGATTTCTTTGTAGATTAAAACATCACAGAAGGAGGTTGAGATGATGTTTCGAGAACAGAGGTTTGTTTTCCATATTGCTCGATGCATGATACCTGGTGTCTTTTACATATCGCTTGTCAAACAAGCACAAGAAATTGGGTTTAAAGTCAAAAGATTTTTAAGCTCATTCTTAGGTTAAGGTCTGAATGCGAGGGAAAGTCTTAACAAATCTCACATTGATCATGTCCATCAAGATATGATTTATGAGTTTGATAATTTATTTGTTCTTGGTTCATATCATATTTACTTAATGATTTTGTCGGCTGTTATGGTTAAGAAGTTTATTTTTCATCTTGATGTCAATGTGGTCATAGTTGGTGTTTTTCTCTCGCAGATCTACTTCGTTTCAAGGTAGATTATTGAAGCACAATCTTGATTCTGAAGTTTTGGGTGCTCTTAAAGATATGAGGAATAAGCTATCAGAGAATGAGTCAAACTCGAAATAGCTCATCTTACTTAAACTTTGTATCATACCCTTTCTGCGGACCATGCTTATGGCAAGTACATGAATCCATTACCTAAACATAGAACAAAATTCTCATTCAAAAAATGGAGTAAAGGTTATTCATAATTAGCTGCCACAACCAGAATAGAGCTCCAATTTCATTCATTATGACCTGTATATTAAGAGATCCCAGATGATGGTGGCATCAATTAGTGTATAGAGACCGGTAGCACAAAATCGGCGCTTTCTTTTTGCCAGAGTAAGAGGTGCCGTAATGTATTTGTTCCCAAACCATACTTTGCTTATGATTTTTTCAGGTTCCCTTTTTAATGTATGATTGTAATAAGTTTCTTATTTTCTCTACCAGAATATCAACTTTGACAATTTTCTGTACATGCTGCACTTATTCACGGTCCAATTCCTGTACTGAAATGTGTTATCGACAAGTATCATTGTTTCTAAATGAGGATTGATAGCTCTTACTTTCAGTACTTGAAAGAGAAGGGGATATCAAACGTAGTAGTTTCTAATGATCCTTTTCTTATACTTTTATGTTTTGATTAGTTTTGTTGGTTAGCTTATTGTTCTGCTCTTTTGGGAATTATTTGGTGCTTTCTAATATAGGCTGTCATGTGTTCAGGTATTTGCATGCCAACCTAACCTACCTTTAAAATGGTCTTGCCCTACCTATGACTTGTTAATTAATAGCCTAATTGAACATTAGCAAACACTCACAAAATTGTTTCAAAGCAATGAAACAAGAATAGCTGAAATGGAACTCTATGGCTCTAATGAAGTTTTAGCTTAATCAATAAAGATTATTTTACAATTTAGTCTTACAAACTTTCTCATTGTTTTAAAACTCAGACTGGATCGGTTGGTTCAATCGATTCGATCGGGATCCGGCTTTAAATCTGGTCCGAGTTGATATAAAACCCGTTATTATTTAAAACCCGTTTTAACTTGTCAATAAGTCAGATAAATAGTGTAAACCGGATGGTCTAATCGGCCCACCTGGTAAGCCGACTCACTATTTAAAAATAAAAAATATCCCTAAATTGATTTTTTTTCTACACAAACTAAACCCTCCCCCTATGAAAGTGCAAAAGAATAAAATTATATGTATTAATCATGGTATACTAATTTAAATACTAACATTGCAAATTTAAAATTCTCTCAAAAAAAAGAATTTCAAATTTATAATATTAGTACTTATATTAGTAGACGTTGGTTAGTGGAAGATGTCATTACTCATTGCAAAACCACTTCTCAATCTCAACTCCACTTTGAAATCGCAAAACCACTTCTCAATCTCAACTCCACTCTCTGAAATTGACGACGACGACACCTCCCTTGCTCGCAATCATCGACGACGACGCCTCCCTCGCTTAATCTTTGTAAAGGTATTTCCACTGTCTCTAAAACTTATTCATGTTTGTTGTCCATGCTTAATCGAATCGAAATCAACCCCATCTGCTTCATCTTCTTCTTCCCGTTTACAATATGCATGTTTTTAGTGGTTTCTTCTTTATATTCGGTTTCGTTCCCCCCACAGTTGTCTCAGATCTTCTATTTTCTTAACTGGGTATTCGCTCGTTTTGGACCTAAATGCCTCATATCCCATAATTTGTAATTGCAATCTTTGAAGGTGGAGACTTGGAGAATGGAGATACGATATTTATATGAAAATTATGACAGTGGTTATTGATGATTATACTTGTTATTATTGATGAAATAGAAAATTAATAAAGATGTAGCATGTTTGTACTGGATAAGCACATGTAATTTTTTTTTCGATTCCAATTTCCTTTTGTTTCTTTTTATTTGTATACTAATTTTTTTTTCCTGGTTTTGGGCTCTGCCATATAGAACTGGAGAAATACAATGGGAAATTAAAAAATGTTGTGGTGTGTTCTGAATTGGTCAACAGCACAGCAATCCTCTGAACCTTAGTTTGACATCTTAAAGTAACCTTTGAAGGTGGCTGCTGTATTCCCAGCAATCTTTCAGTGTATTTTTAACTTGTTCATGGATTTTCCTTTTAATATGTGACTATCTTCTTAAATTTTGTCATTTAATTTGTAATCGAATGAGCAGAACATTATGTTGGGAACTTCGGATTGTTATTAAAAATTTGAAGGCAGCTGAATTTATAAAAATTAAAAAATCTGGATTTTTTTGCATTGCTAACGTCATTATGTTTAGTATATGATATCATTGGTTCAACCACCGGTCGACCTGAGACCGAGCAGCAAACGGGTTGTCCAATAGGTCAGATTTTAAAACAGTGATGATATTTCGCAATTGGTAAGCTTGCAGTGGGGTGTAAGACTCATTGCAGTGTCAATCGAATGTGAGAGAAAGTTGTAATTGTAAGAGAAAGTTTGTGAAAGTGTTGAAAGTATAATTGTTCATCGAATTTCATAATGGGCCTATGAGCATATGAGCCTCATACTTTACATGACAAAATCCAACCTGCATTGATTCAATATTATATTGCTGGTCGCCCTTTTTATATAGTAAGATATTGTCTATTTTAATAACTTTAAAAGCATATATAATTTAAAAAGAGTCTATTTACTAACCAAATGATTTTGATCTTAAAATACATAATCACGTTAAGTACATTTTTCATTTAGACTATCTCTTGACCTTCCTTCATTCTGAGAATCGACAAACCCTTAATTTGTACTGTACATAACAACTTAAGTCCAAAAAAAAAAAGAAAAAGAAATTTATATCAAGTTAATTTATACTGAACGTTATAACAATTATCTTATTTCAATGTTATAATCTATTTTTAAGAATTATTCAACTCATAACTTCAAAGAATTATATTGTAATAAAAAGATTCAAATTAATTCCATTCAAATTTAAGGTTTAAATTTGATTTTATTACAAATAAAACTATTTCACGTTACTTTCACTTTATTATGTTTTCTAATAAACAAATTTAAGTATAACTAATTCTAATTCAAATTTTAAGTAAAACCATCTAAAGATGACTAAATTTTGCAAATCCATGATAAAATTCTTTTCTGTTTTGTAATTAGTTATTGTTTTCATGTTTGACATATTTAAAATCTTTTGTGATTAGTATATATCTCAAATAATAACATATATAAATAAGTGTGTGTATATAGGCCGAACGACTTACATACCCAAGGTTCGAAACGACAAGTTGAACCCAAAGGTTTTGAAATGACAAACATACCTTCCGCATTTTCTGTTAGTGATTTTCGTTAAATAATGTGAAAAGACTAAACCTTAAAAGTTTAATTTTTAGTTTTTTATAAATTTAAAAATTTCTAAAAACCCCCTAGGTTTGCTAATTTGACTAAACACCCCAATATATAAAATTTTTATAAAACAACAAATACACCCCCGCCACCCACAGTGCCAGATTTCGGCCACCACAGCCGGAATCTGGCCGGAAAATTGTGTTACGACACAGACCCGTCGGATCTGTGTCGTAACACACCGATCTTTCATTTTTCGACAAGATCTGTGGCTGATATGGCCGGAAAAGGCCAGATCTATGTCTGGCCTTTTTCGGCCTCGACGGCCAGATCCTCTACGGATCTGGCCGGAAAATGCCAAATCGACGTGTTACGAGACAGATCCGATGGGTCTGTGTCGTAACACAATTTTTCGGCAAGTTTTCGGTCTCGACGGCCAGATCTGGCCGTAGATCTGGCCTTTTCCGGCCATATCAGCCACGGATCTTGTCGAAAAATGAAAGATCTACGCGTTACGACACAGATCCGATGGGTCTGTGTTATAACACAATTTTTCGGCCAGATTCCGGCGGTGGTGGCCGGAATCTGGCACTGTGGGTGGCAGGGGTGTTTTTGTTATTTTATAAAATTTTTATATATTGGGGTGTTTAGTCAAATTAGCAAACCTAAGGGGTTTTTTAGAAATTTTTAAATTTATAAAAAACTAAAAATTAAACTTTTAAGGGCATTTTAGTCTTTTCACTATTATTTAACGAAAATTACTAACAAAACATGACGGAAGGTACCCATTTGTCGTTTCAAAACCTTTTGGGTACCAACTTATCGTTTCGACAAACGTTGGGTATGTATAAGTCGTTCTCCCGTGTATATATATATATATATACACACACACTTTTTTTTTCATGTTTTCCTTTCATCTCCCAATTTTCTCTCTTTCCCTGAATAACATATGTAGTATATATTTAAATTAATAACATCAATTCTTATATCTCCCGGTTTATGTTTAAATAAGTTAGATTTGTATTTTTAAACGTAATTCAAAACTTAATGTTATTTAACATTTAAACTTCAATGTAATTTAATTAATGCTGATTTGTAACTTGGATTGTAAATAGTCTAGCATATTCTTTTTGTATCAAAATAAAATGAATATTTCATAATTTATTAATTTAACTTGGACTTATTGGCTTCGTTTAGTTTAAAATTTAGGGGTTTTGTTAAAAAAAAGTTGAATTGGGCGAGTATTACGATGTAGGATTTATAAATTAATAAAATGTCCCCTATGTTTTTTTTTTTTACAAAATACCCCTATAATAAAACATTAAAAGTTAACAAAAACACCCCCAATCCACCCTCAAATACCCCTAGCCAGCCACCACCACCGGAGGTGGCCGGAGTCGCCTTATCGGCATATGACCGGCTGGATCTTGCCGGTCATGCGCCGATATGGCCTTTTTCGGCCAGATCTGGCCGTATTTGCTCTCAACGACGGCCAACAAACGGTCGTCGTTGATGGTCAGCGACGACCGTTTGTTGGCCGTCGTGACCGACTGTTACCGCCAAAGATCTGGCCGTCAACGGCCAGATCTTTGGCCTTAGATCTGGCCTTTTCCGGCCAGATCCACCTTGGATCTGGCCGGAAAAGACTAGATCGGCGCAATACCGGCCAGATTCAGTCGGTAGTATGCCATCCTACCAGATTCCAGCCATTTTCCGGCGGTGATGACCGGAATCTGATAAATGTGGATTGTTGGGATGTTTTTGTAATTTTTAAAAAAATATTTAGTTGTATTTAATTAAATTAACAAATTTAGAGGGTTTAAAAAAAATTGAATAATATTGAAATTAGTATTCCCAAAAATGAGAGTTTATGGGTATTTTACTGTTTAACTTTTTTGGGAATACTAAAAGTAGTATTTCCAATTTTGAACCAAACGAAGCCATTATGTTTGAGTCCTGGTTGGTTTGGTGCTGGACTGTTCTATGCGCTTTTGGTGGCTGTGATGGATGCTGCTGTCGGCCCTCTTTGTTTCTTGTGGTTACGGGCCTTGCGGCTGGTCTGCTTCCTCAGCTGGTGTTTCCCTGTTGGCCTCGCTGGTTTTTCTGGTCTGTTGGAGCTCCTGTTTCAGGAGTTCTTTTTCGTGTCCTAAGTTATACTTGCTGCTCTTTCTTTTGGCTGTGTAAAGAGCCTTTGTATAGCCAACCCTGGCTGATTTTTTTTTTGGTGCTCCTGGGTTGTGGTGGGGGGTGTAAAGGGTGTGATCCTGACAA